TTGGGGGGGGGGGGGGGGTGTGAATGCCTCTCTTTAGTGCACTGGCTAAGCTTTTGGTGGCCGGTACACTTTTATGGCCGAGTTCCACCTCTGTGTAGTATATTTACTCTGTGGTGAGGCACTTGCCTAATGCGTAGACGGCAGGGAGACAAAGGGTGTGACCCTTGCCAACGGGCGATTAGTTAGTAATCGTCCCTGTTGAAACAAAAGAAACACGGGAAACTATGCTATTACTGCATTAAGAGCATCAGTATAATTTTGGCATGACAGGTTTATTGTACATTTTTACCTTTTACAGTTTTTGTGTCTCCGCCCGTTCGCGGGCGGCGACACTATGTTATACTGAAACTTCGGGAATTGTCGAATGGTGCCCGATAGTTCCACGATCCTTTGTTCGGCACAATTTCGAAAACTCGTACACCATTCGGAATATCGCCATTATAGCTACTTGAGTTTAGTGAATTTGTGCGTTTGAAACACTGATTTTAAAACATAATTCTTTGTTTAGAAGTGGCAAAAACAACGTGTAGTTCACTAGTTTCCACAGGAATTTTTAGCTTATGACTATAATTGGAACTGTTGTAGCTTATGACTAGTGTCAGAAATGAGGAATTCAGAAGTTCATATTATATCTCAACAATGGCAACAAAGCTGTTTAGAGCTTTAATACGGCCATTGTCGAAGGTAAAGAATTCAGGATTCAGAGGGTTATGTACATTCTAAAAAGGCGCATGGTAGACATGTATGTTTTAAATAATGTTCTAGCTTTAAGCATTTAACTCGCGGCCGACAGGCCCTGAGAAAACTAGGTCGATAGTGGAATACTATTTTGCAGGTTCATATATTCGGTTCAGTAAATGCTATGCAGATGAAAATACCATTATTCGATATTTGGATTCAGTCCTGACGATAGTTTTAGTCAAAGACAAACATTATAGCGATTTATGACCTTTGAGGGTCCAAGAAATATCATATTTCAATAATTTGAATTACATATTTGTTCGAAAAATGTAAACATGTATCACTAAAGCCATATACATTTCGCCGGACGCAACTTCGGCCCCTTCGAACATATCTTTTTCGTTGTCATGTTGTTCGATTCACAATCAAAAGCAACATTTAGAGTATTTTCAAGCTTGTAGCCTCAGTTTTTGATCTTTTATTTCTGTATTTCAACCTGTTGTGTAATGAAGTCAGCGGGTATTTTTGACGAAAATACGATTTAGATTTGCCAAAGTTGAAAATGAAAATATTCCGAGTGTGTATTTCATAATTTCCATACCCAGCGCAAGCAGAAAGATATTGTCTGCCGCGGCTGGGTCTTGAACCCGCAACCTTCGCATTACTAGATCGACGCTCTAGCAACTGAGCTACACGGTCAGACGGATTTAATAAGACTGGAAATTATGAACAATATGCTGAATGTCATAAACATACTCGTTTATATTAATTTAGCATCGAACAATACTAGACTAGTTCTGCAAGTGTTACGTTATGAAAAAAAGATGTGAAAACACAGACTTGGTCACAAGTCGATCTCGAAAAGCGAGCAGGACATACGAAGCGCGAAAAAAAGTGGAAAGGACTTTGGGCACTTTGGGAAAGTCTAATGGCTAGTGTCAGAAACATGGTCAGAAATGAGGAATTCAGAAGCGGAGTTATATCCTAACAATGCTGTTTAGAGCTTATGGCCATTGTCAGAGATAATAATTCAGATTTCATTTATGTACATTTATGTACATTCTAAAAAGGCGTATGATGTTTTGACGTGTGTTTTGAATAATAGTTTGACTATTAGTGAACAACAGCATATAAATACAGTATGCACGCTTTCAATAATTGGTATTTTTGTACTTGCTTTATGATTGATTTATACTGGTAATTCTTTATTGCAATTTTCTCCTGAATCCTGATTTTATGATAGAGTCAACTATCAACATACACACTTCATATATACAATAAGATATATTGCCATTGATCTTGTAAGTTTCTGTGTGTTAGCCGCTAGGTTGCAATCAATGAGCAGCTTGGATTACATTATTATTGGGAATTGCTTTGCCTTTTTGCTCTACTTGCTTAATTATGGCACCCTCTGGTTTTCGCATCAAAAAGAACTTGGACTGAACCTTTCAGTTGTTATTCCAGTAGTTGAAACAAACAGCTTCCAAGGACTTGAAATTTGGGCAAACAAACATAACCCCAGACCATGCCCCCACGATAATGTTGTGACCGTACAACAAGAGGGAACGCGCAGTCTGTACATTCGGGCGAGAGACACATGTACGCCTTGCGGACCTATTTTTCATATATACAGGGTGAGTAAAAAAAACCTGATACCTTCGCATTCTCGTACCCAGAGCCCTTCTTACGCGCGGTGCGACGAGGGGCTCTGGCCAAATCCATATTCCGAACTGGCATCTGATTGGCTAGTTCTAACACCCGACATTGTTTTCTTACCATGTTTTTATGGTATCCGGTTATGGATTTGGCCAGAGCCCCTCGTCGCACCGCGCGTAAGAAAGGCTCTGGATACGAGAATGATACATTCGCGGCTAATTTGAATAACAAAGGTGTCAGTTTTTTTTTACTCACCCTGTATAGTTCATAGTTATTTTGTTAATGTATACCGTACTTACTCGATTGAGCGCTGTCACCCCCCCCCCCGAATAACCGCCGCATTAGAGATTTAAAGAGCGCCGCTCCCGAATCAGCGCCACACTAAACAGTGTAAAAACTTTCCGCCGTCAAGATGGTGACATTTGTTTATTTTATTGTTAAAAGTTCTTGTTATAGTTCACAAATAAAAGTTTTTTTAAAAAGCGCCC